ACGAAGTCTGTCAATCTAGACAGTTCACTATTAGAGATTAGTTGACGACTCTCTAGCATCCTCCATATAGTACAATAATCATAATCATGAGTAGGTGACCTTGTATCTGCCAACTACTGATACATATGTGCCCTTATCTAGGTAAGTACCAACAAACTACATTTATTTCTTTGCACCAAAATCATGTCTACATCTATCAAGGCTAAAATGCCCTAAAATGTACTATGAAGGAGATGTGGCTAGTTGTTTATTTTTCCTACCTGAGTTATATGCTATCAAAGTCATTATTGTTTCCTGCTCGCTTTTAGTTTATAACATTACTTTCTTTACAATTGTTTTCAACATATTTCCTCGCTCACATTTTCTAAAACATTTCTTTCAAACATGACCCAAGACTCGAGTATACGCCGATATTGTTGTCAAAGTGCGAATTTCACACAACTGACTTATTTGCTGGGTTAAAACAAATGTCGCACAAGTCCAATTACTACAAGAGTGCGATTGTGATACTTAGCACACTTAGTGTAACGATTCGAGTTTCTAGAATAAAATCAAATAAAAATAAAATAAATAATTAAATGTTTTCATGTAATCTCCGTGGAAATTGAGGGATTTCATTTATTGCCTAATAGAAACATTTCTATTTCTCCAAGTTTTCTTATCCTAAAACTCTAGAATGTCTGGTTGGAAAATGTCTTGAGATTATTTTTATATTCCTATGCCCAACCTTTTACCTCCCTTGAAGACAATTTTCTCTCCAAACTTTTCTCTCATAACATTAGGGTTGCTATTCCAGAAAAAGGATTCAAGTGGAAGTAAGATATAGATGTCGGGATCGCCATGCTTGTGTCGAAGACGATGCATGACCGGCGGAACTCAGCTTGGTGTGTACGTCGGCTCGGCTCCATCAATTCTCGCAACTCGAATTGACGACTTAGTTGGTCGGCTTTGCGGCTTGGTATCACTATAATATATCGATTCCAAGGTTTTCAGCCCTTCCGAAGCCATTTCTGCCCTTAGTTTTACCATTTGAGGTAAGTATGGTTCCTAACCATCAAAGACAGATTGGGTCAGGAGTTGTTCAGGCACAGGGGGTTGTATACGAGCCCGCTTGGTGGATCCATGTACGCGTACATGGGCCGTGTGTGAAGGAGTACCACACACCCAACCCTACCCGGAATAGAAAAGCACCCAAGGTTATGTAAAGTTTATGAAAAGTTAGGTCTCGCTCATATGTTGCATGTGTTTGCATTTCTAACCCCAACAGTGAGGTGACTTATTGCATATTTCATAAAATACTAAAGCTACATGCTACCTACATTTTTCAAGTAAAGGCAAGGCGTCAATGTACGGTTGACAGCAGAGCTGAGGACACCATAAAAGTTGGAGAGGAGATATTTTTAAGAGTTTACGTTTATTTGACTGTTTTAAATCAAAACATTGAATATTGTTTTATTTAGATTTATTTTGAATTCAGTTACAATGTGACGATGAACCACCACACCTATATACAACCATTCTTTGCATGCAACCTACGATTTTCTTTCATCGAAGAATCGATGGCCAAATAGCTCGAGTGGGCTAAATATCAAGCCATAAAGACACTTTAAAAAGACTACAATAAATTTTCAACAATATTAGATTAACTAACAGAGGGAAGAAACTTGCATCCAAAAGAAAAACGAAGGAAACTTGTAAAATGTAGATAAAATGTGGGTGAAATTTTAAAGAGGAAAAACATTGAAGAATCCAATGATCCTTCTAACTCCCACGTTGACTTTTAAATGGAAATGATGTCACTTTGTGAAGACTTTATCGGATTCTACGAATGGATAACGTTTAATTGTCCAATATAAAACATTATGCAATCAACATGATGTAATTTCATGTACCATCTCAACCCAAAAATAGATTTGACACAAAGTGATTTAATTAAATGTTTGATTTAATATATTTTTAAATAATAAAACTAGTTGTAGATATGCAATAAATCAACATGTTTTTTTGTTTAAAAAATTTATACAATAAACCCATAAATATTAGGGTTTAGAGTTTATTCAAAATTTAGCGTATAAGAAATGTTTTGTTTCCAACTCCAACCAATGAATTTTAAAACCGTAAGACAGACAATGATACATAATGGCAAAAACGGACAATATGAGTTAGCGGTAGCTGTAGGCTGTTACACAAAAATACCTCTAAACTCTAAAAAAATTTCACAATATCTGTAAACTTTAAAAAAAATATATATTTAAAAATATATTTCAAGCCGTTACATTTCGTTTAAATAATATTTTTGAACTTTCAATAGTGTTTCAAAAATACTCTTGAAATATAAAAAATTTCATTCATAACTTTTCGTAAAAAATTCAAAAGTACTTTTATCGTTAATACCATATTTAAAAGAATACCCATTAAAGTCTTTTTGAAGTTTATAAAAAAGTTTAAAGGTATTAATAAAAATTTTGAAAATTTAAGGATATTTTTAACTTATATTTTTATTAATTTAGCTTAAAAAAGCTTTTTGATTATTTTTTTTCAAGTTTTGGATAGTATTTAAGTTGCTACGGTATGCATTACGTAATTTATTTATGCGAAAACATTCATTTAAAATAATTTTATAAGACGATGTTATGGACTTGTACGTTCGCATGAGAGTCTTGAAGCAAAGTAGCAGAAACCTTCATTTACAACAATTTCATAAAACGATGTTAAGGACTTGTACGTTCGCATAAGAGTCTTAAAACAAAGTAATGAGAAATATTGAATCCAAAATAAAATGTCATCTACTAATCCCATAATCAACAAAATAAAATGCAACTACCCTGTTCCATTGTCTTTGATCCGACGTCGCCGTTAACCATACATGGATGTCTTGCCTGAAATATAAGTAGCATGAGACTTGAGTATTTGCACAAGGCTTGACTAATCGTACAATGCAACTACCCTACGCAAGTTCCATGGTTTTTGATACAACGTCATCGTCAACCGTACAAAGGTGTCTTGCCTTTACCTGACATATAAGTAATACAAGGCTTGAGTATTGCTGGAGTGTATTGTCTTTACTTGAAATATAAGTAGCATAAGGTTTGAGTATTTGAACAAGGCTTAACTAATCCTACCATCTACAAATTAAAATGCAACTACCCTACCGAGGTTTCATGGTCTTTGATGCGCACGTGCATCAATCGTACAAGGCTTTACTATTTCTGGGGTGTCTTGTCTTTGCTTGAAATATAAGTAAGATAAGACTTTGAGTATTTGCACAAGACTTGATTAATCCTACAATCTACAAAATAAAATGCAACTACCCTATCCAAGTTTCATGGTCTTTGATGCAACGTCACCGTCAACTGTACATGGGTGCCTTGTCTTTACCTAAAATATAAGTAGCCGAAGGCTTGATTGTTTTGGGGTGTCTTGCCTTTACCTGAAATATAAGTAGCATAAGGCTTGAATATTTGCACAATTCTTGACTAATCCTATAATCTACGAGATAAAACCAACATAGAATTATCCTTTAGTCTACCATTCGCTAGTGTAAATCATATCATGTGCTATATCATAATATATATAGAACTCAATCAAAAATGATACCGTCAATGGTGACAATGTCAATCATTAGTTCTTTTCTTATCTTACACATGACATACCTGACGATGATGGGACATTAGCATTAGGACCATGAAACATGTTAAGCCTACATTGTATGCTAGTCTACAGAATCTGTAGTCTAGAATTCTGATACCAACTATAGCAACTCTATTTCAGTAGAAAATCAGGGTCGTTATACATAGTGTCGTAGAAAAATGTTAAGATCATCAAATGTCGAATCCAAATTCCAAATCTTGGACATAAACTTGAACTCTCAATCAATTCTAATAACAAAAACTATGTTTCACGTTCATTCGACATGTTCCCTAAAAATAATGTATTTTTTGTATTGGCTCACACAAAGATGATGTTAAATTTATACCAAAGAAATAATGAGGTAACTCTTAGATTAAATTTACATCATAATAGCTACAAAAAGTAATTGTGGGTTTTTTTTTATTTATTTATTTGACATTATGGGTATGAACAAATATATATATATATATATATATATATATATATATATATTAAAATTCCAAAAAGTTGTTTGAAAGTTAAGAGTGAATTAGAATTAGGTAGGCTCCGACCAAAGAAAAATAAATACTAAGTTTTTTGCGTATAATAATGAATAATCATCCATTCTTAAACAAACCTACCCTTGTAGATTTTGGTCCAATTTTCATTGCTGACGTGTCCTTTTTTTTTTTTTCTACAAAGACGTCCTCATGAGATTCAGCCCTCCGAGTTGGCCACGAGGTAAAACGAAAAACAGCTACAACCAGCTCTCTCGTTCTTTGTATGATTGTAAGGTTGTTCGAGAATTTCTTGATAAATGTGAATAGTTCATCTTCCTCTCTTTGAAACAAGAATATTTCTTTGATCGACGAATGATTAGTTAGCTTAGATTGCTATCTATCTCTGAAACGTTCCCAACGTAGCTGGAGTAGCTTAATTTTGATATTATATTAAAAAATAAATTAAAATGTCGTTAGACTAAATTATATATTTTGACTAGCTATATCAAACCTTAAATACGACCAAACTTGTTTGGTTTTACCACTTAGATGAGTTGATTACACCTAGATAATAATAATAATAAATAATAAAGTGTTTAAAATGTCAAAAGTTAGTTTTATTATTATTATTATTTATTTATTTTGGAAAAAAAAAAAAACATTATCAAAGAAAGTTAATGTAAAAAGAGACATAATTTCACATTCAACCCCTTTTGTACAAGTCATACATAATGACATGTTTGGAAGTTATACCAAATGATAAACAAATCCCATCATCAAATTAATCAAAAGCTTCTAAATGTCAAAGCCACCTTTTTCTTCACCCTATAAAAACAGCCACTTTCTTGCCATTTTTGACATTCCCAACTTTAGCTTCTTCATCTTCTCTTCCATCCCGTTAACTCATCTCGTGATGTCGAGAGCGTCGATGCTCGACGAGAACGGTTTAAAGAAGGGACCTTGGACGCCTGAGGAAGATCGAATATTAGTGGATTATATTGAAAAACATGGTCATGGGAGCTGGAGAGCTCTTCCAAAGCTTGCTGGTTTGAATAGGTGTGGTAAGAGCTGCAGATTAAGATGGACGAACTATCTTAGACCTGACATCAAAAGAGGAAACTTTTCTAATGAAGAAGAGCAAATCATCATCACCCTTCATGCATCTCTCGGAAACAAGTAAGTTTTTGCTTTGTTATTATAGAAAATTATTGACAATAACACTAAAAGGAGTATAAATTCTTGCAATCAGATGGTCGATAATAGCTAGCCATCTTCCAGGACGAACGGATAACGAGATTAAGAACTTTTGGAACACTCACTTGAAGAAGAAGCTTCTCCAAATGGGTATCGATCCAGTCACCCACGTGCCAATGCCTTCCGATCATCATATGAACACTTTCTCAAATCTTCATCACTTGCTTTCTCTTTCCACAGCTCCATGGGACAGTTCGTTAAGGCTACACACACAAGCTCACCTCCTCCAAAATGTTCTACAAATTCTAAACTCTCCTTCTTCTCTAGCCATTTCAAATAACCTCTTCAACACACAACAAATCACAAACCTAACTTATAATCACCCTATCGGATCCTTTTTCCAAACCTTCCCAAGTAACATACAACCCCTACAAGAACCACTATCATGTGACGACTACGCAACAACCGCACCTGCGTTAGGGTTGGAAAACGATTGCAATCGAGCGGAGTCTTTTTATGACATGAGCCAATGCCCAAACTCACTTCCCGACTTGATTCCAGCTTCTCCCGAGTGCTCGAAAATACCAACCGCCATAGAAAATAATTGGGGAGATATCATGGATGACGAAACTTCCAATTCTTACTGGAAACATGCGATAAAGTAAGTGAATACGAATAAAAACCACTCGTTTTATAAATACTTTAAATTATATCAAATTTATATGTTTTTTTTTTTCTTTGAACAGCCAAACTCCTCCGCCATGGTCGGTCTCGTAGAGGTTCAGTAGAGGATGTCATTTCTTAACAACTCGTGGTGATATGTGAAGAGTTTTACATTTACTTTGTACAGAAATCCATGTATGATTCTTATATAAATAAGTCGAGATCGAGACAGCATGGATTTGATGCTTCACCTCCTTTACTACTCGATTATCTAATTAATTAAGCTACTATTGGACAATTAAAATCATAATCAAAGTTTAAAACTAAGAAAAATTAATTAAAGTCTTAATGTTTCTAGAAGGAGAAAGAAAATAAATATATTAAACAAATTCTTTACTTTATTTTAAGATATAATTGATTCATTTGACTTATGTGTGTGGATATTAATACATTTTGTGTTCAAACTAGCAAAATTTCAAAGGGAAAAAAAGTCCATTTGTATAGCATTTTTTTAATTGTATAATAACGCGAAAGTTTCTTAAATTATTCAATTTAAACTCTCGTGATTCAGTCGGGTTGGGTTATCGAATAGTTCTTTTCTAAAATTATTTAAAAGATTCTACTTATCCACCGTGCATGTTACATTAATAATTAAAATCTCATAAAATTTAAATATCAAACATTTATAAGTCACAGTGGATTGGGTTATAACCCTATTTTTGGGTTGATCGTATTAATCGAGTTGACTCGAAAAAAATGTCAATTCTAATTGTTTTGTTCCAGGGCAGTTCGTCCTATTCAGATATTCACGACCAAGAAACACTGGATTCTCTTTCGAGTAAGCCTTGAAAGGAGAAGGAAGGCTGTAACCTTCATTAGCAGATTCATTTTCTGTGGTTTCCCTGGTCAAACTAGAAGTTACCAAGGAACCATGCATAGCACTGAATAGGGAGCCGCCGAATACACCAGCTACACCTAACATGTGGTAAATTCACCCGACTCGATAGTTCCCCATTTTTGGAACGTCCAGTGTAAAAGTCACTAAATGGGTAAGTCGTCAATCCCTAAAACAGACAACTCACAAACGGAACCAAATTTTTTATCTGTAAAAAAAAAAATTAACTCAACTCCATATTTAAATTAAGTGTAGATAAATAGAAAGAGAAAGTGTGCCAAATGGGTATTAAAAAAATTGTATATGACATTAGTTATTGTTATCAAAGCTTCACTTTCGGCTTCCATTATTTTAATAAGAACAAAATGGCTATCCAATTGAAGTGTAGGAGCCCCTAAATAACATAACTTAATTTGACCCATTTAATCAAATGCTATTTTATAATAATGTCGTTCATTAGTTGTTGCGACTTAGAAAAAAAGACTCGCCTTCTAGAACAAGACCATCTAACGTGTTGGACTTTCGAATAGGTGCAAACCCGTGTTCGAATTTCCCTTCCGTACCACATAAATTGAAAAAAAAACTACGACGCGACGATGAAATGAAAGTTTCTCCGTACTACTTTAATTCATTGTCAACTCTATATCAGAATGAGTAAATAAACCCATTAAAAAGAGCGTTTTTGGGGTTTCGTGTTCGAATGGTCTGTTTCTTTCTGCGTAGATTTCGTCTGTTTTGAGGACGTTCAAAATAAAGTAATTGTGGATATAATAGACGTTTGATTAACCATAATAATGATGTAATTTCATTTGACAAAAAAGTCAAGAGTCGTTGTTAACTATTAGGTAAGACTATTTGGGTCCTTTGATTAATATTATTATTGATCCAACAGCAAATTTGTCTATTAAGGTAAGTGAGATCTTTTTAGGTAACTTCTTTGCTTCTCTGTCTCTAGAACATCGAAAGGGAATCTTTGTACGGAAGTTTCTTTTCAAATCTAAATGTATATCGATTATTTTGTAGGCTAAGACAATGATCTAATTTTATATCTTCGAGTTGAAAGTTAATTCCTTTTGGGCTTTCTCGGGTTTCACTTTTAGACTTCCTTTCAAGGTTCTTAAAACATGTCTACTAAAGAGCGGTTTGCACACCCTTATACAGGATGTTTTGTTTACCTCTCCAACAGATGTGGGATCTCCCAATTCATCCTTCTTTGGAGCTCAACGTCCCTATTGGCGCTCGTTCCTCTCTATCCAATCGATATGAGATCTCACAATTCATCCCCCTTTGGAGCCCAGCGTCCTCGCTGGAAAACCTCCAATGTCCACCCCCTTCGAGGCTCAACGTCCTCATTAGCACACCATCTTGTGTCTGCCTCTGATACATTTGTAACAGCCCAATCCCAAGTCCACCACTATCATATATGTCCTCTTTGGGCTTTCCCTTTCACGCTTTCCTCAATGTTTTTAAAACACTCTATTAGGGAGAGGCTTTCGTACCTTTAAAAAGAATGTTTTGTTCTCTCTCCAACCAATGTTCTTTAAAACTCCATTCATTTAATCAGGAAAGAAAATAAGTTACTCATTTTATTCTGAAGTAATGTAAGATGCTCTGACATCCTAAGATGCCTTCAAAGGTCTTAAAAGATTCTCAGTTTGAAGACGTTTTTTTTTAATGTTTTGGTCTTCACTTTTTTTTCAAAGGTACAAGTTTTAAAGTAACTAACTAAATATTCTCGGTTTAATGTTTTGGTCTTCACGTTATGCTAAAACTCAAACACATTTTGCCCAACATCGAAAGATTTCATCACATGATTAAGCCAAAAAGACTCGTTTTTTCTTATTCATTTATATATTACTAAATTTGGTGAACATCTTGAGGCATCTTTCTAAACAAATGACAAGCTCTTAGACATTTTTGGTATGGTATTTTTCTATTTGGGCATAATTTTAAACAGTTCGCGATATCATGTTTGAATGATGTGATATATTGATTGATTGACAAGCATATTAAGCTTGTTTATCAAAAGGACTTCATGAATTTAATGAGTAGGTATCTTGTTGACCTTTAAATATAACTAACCCACCAACTTTGCCATTTTGTTTTGGTTGTAATGTATGATGTTGGTATCAATGTAAGCCATTCTTCGTGTTTAATTTATACAAGGACTACGTGTCTGACGTTTGCTACTTAAGAAAGACATAATATGGTATTTTTTATATGTGAATAAAATTTTTTGTTTTCGTTTGTAGTTGCATCTGTACTTTTTCGATTGGAAGTGTGACCAAATTGATAGGAAAGAATAATATTATCATCGTACTGAAGATTTTCGTTTTGAGTAAAATGAAAAAAATAAAATCGTGGTAATTTATGTTCGAAATGAACAATATCATATCATAAAAATTATGAAAAAGAAGGATTATAATCATTTCTGAAACCTAGCAAAATCAATAAAATCAATTCTTTGCTAGCTCAAAAGAGGTGGTGAGTCTCGTCGATAGAGTTAGGTGGAGCTTTTGTATCGCTTATCACTTCATCGTTCGTCTAGCTCGAAAGAGGGCTGTGTCTCATCCCTATCACATTATCACTTCATCGTTCGTCTGGTTCATATGGGATGCGCCTATTCTCTGTAACATTGTCACTTCATCGTTTGGTTCATATGAGACATGTTTCTTATCGTTGGCATCGTCACTTCATCGTTCAGTTCATATGTGACACATCTCTCTTCTTTAACATTGTAACTTTATCGTTCGGCTCATATGAATGGTTCCGACACGGCAAAAGTCAACCTTAATTTCCTATGAAACATGTTTTTTTTTTCTTCTTTTTTACTGCAGTATTCACCCTTCCAAAATTCATCCAAACTCACCAATAGACTTCCCTCCAACTTTTCCATAATTCCCCAAAACTGTGTCGCGTTCTACAGTGCTACTCTCTACCATATATGAACTGCTCCAACCAAAAGAACAGTTTTTTACACATAAAAAGAAAAAACAGCATCAGTTTCCCTAGATTTGGAAATCACAGCATCAACTAGAAGTAATCAATGAAATAATAAAGATCATAAAACTCTAAGTTAAGCAGAGATTTCAAGTATTTTTCCACAACCAAACAATCATGCAGTCATTTCTGGAAATTTAATGTTCTTGTACGTATGAAAATAAGGTAAAGGGAATTTGTCAAACTTACATTGAGCGGTATCTGATCTCATTGCTACCTCGTTCTCTCCTTGCTGATCTGCCATCAGGATTGGAAACCATGCAAGTATATGCTTTATTTTTATCAGTCGTTTTGATTTTGTTAGCTATCTTTTCTTGTAAATGATTTCTTTCTGCTAGAATGGCAAGATGATGATGGGTACTAATCTGCCTGTTTCTTGTATATTTACTTCAACAATGTATAAATATGAAGTGATGAAGATACAGTGTGTGCTTGATCATTTCATTAATGGAAGACAAGAAATAAACAAAACTGAGGGCAAAAATGTAATCGCGCAAACAAAGATGAACAGTTATTTCTCTTATTTGATTTAGATGCACTCCAAGAGAGAGATTTCCGGTGTCCACATTAGTTGGAGAGGAGAACGAATCGTTCTTTATAAAAGTGTTGAAATCTAACCTTAGCAAACGCGTTCTAAAAACCTTTGAGAGAAAGCTCGAAAGGGAAAGCCTAAAGAAGACAATATCTACTAGTAGTGGTGGGTTTGGGCTATCACAAATGATATCAAAGCCAGACAACGGGCGATATGCTAGCGAGGAGGTCGAGTCCCAAAGGGGGATGGACACAAGGCAGTATGTCAGCAAGGACATTGGGCCTCGAAGGAGAGTAGATTGTGAGATCCAACATCGGTTTGAGAGGTGGAGAACAAATCATTCTTTATAAGGATGTGGAAACCTCTCCCACGACGCGTTTTAAAAACCTTGAGGGAAAACCCGAAAGAAAAAGCCCAAAGTGGACAATATCTGCTAGCGGTGGGCTTGGGCTGTTACAAATGGTATCAAAGTCAGACATCAAGCGATGTATTAGCGAGGAGGCTGAACCCCGAAAGGGGGTAGACACGAGACGGTGTGCCAGCAAGGATGCTGAGCCTCGAAGAGGGTGGATTGGGGAGTCCTACATCGATTGGAGAAGGGAACGAGTGCCAGCGAAGACACTGGGCCTTAAAGGGGTGTGGATTGTGAGAACCTGCATCAGATGGGGAGGAAAACCCGAAAGAAAAAGCTCAAAGCGAACAATATCTGCTAGCACCCGCTTGGATTTAATAGTATGATCTGAAAGAGAAACTCCCAGATCAAGGGTATGTTCTCGGGTGGCCTAAAATGCTTTGTTCTCTCAATATCATCATCGTTTGGGAGCAAGATACAAGTGCTTTTTGCAGTTAAGGTGCTTTGTGGGAAGTATATGTAAGCTGCTTGGGCTGGAAAGCACTTCCAAATGATCTTGATTTGTCACTAAACACAATGCTTATATAACAAAAATACTCATTCTAGAAACACCCCAAGCACACCCTCAACCTTTCAACTTGGAACTTCTAAAGCAAGAAAAGATGTGAACAAAACCAAGGAAAAAAACAAGTTCCTATAATGGTACAGCCATAGATTACAGTTACATGATTCACAAGAACAATTCAGAGCTAACACATTAATGAAGTATATCTATTATGAGCAAAAATCCCTTTCAGAACTTTAAATGGAAATTGCAGTTCAAGTCAGTTCCTAATTTACACAATAAAACTTACTCAAAAGGGAACAGAGGAATTACCTCACCACGCAAATGCAAAACAAGTTCATATTCATTCGAGTAAAAACCAACAAGCCCAGTCGAAAACCACGAAAAACAGCTTCCACCACATTACGATACGCACAACGGATCATCACAGCAAAATTCAAACAATGAACACGAACATGAAAAGATATTAAAGGAACAAAGTCAAATCAAGTTCATATTCATTAGTGTTTGCAGGCATCCTAAGATATAAACCAATACAAAAGATCCATAATCAAACACCACGTATAGCCTACCAGTTACCTTAATAGCTTCATATTTATAACTTGTATTACATCCTTTAAAAGGCTCTACAACAGAGTCATACCAATTATTTTGTAACATCCCAGCTGATTGATAGCCTCTCACTTTCAACAGAACACTACCTCGTTTTCATTTACATAGGAAGAACTAAAGGCTCCACCACCACCACTCCGTTTATGAACAACATCCAACAAAAATTTGGTCAAGAAAGGCTCATAGTTAGGCATTTTGGCATACCCAGGTAAGTAATTAATATCAATCACAAGGTACCTATTCAGATCATTACTATCCCTAATCAGATCAAAGTTAAAAAGCCTAAGCCCTGTTGCTTCCCTTAACCCAGCAGCCACATGCATCACAAAATCCAAAGATGGCATTTCAACATTACCCTCGTTGTTGTCCACTGGAGTCCCTGAATTCGAAATCTTTGAAAAGCTCGAAACAGCCTCCAATTTTTCGAGATCCTCCGGCGAAATATCCGGCAGCGATTTCCTCGTTACGCAAACCACGCACTCCCCCACTACATAAACTTTGAACACAACACCGCCATGGTTGATAAATTCCTGCAACACAATCGGGGGGTTTAATCCCTTCAATCCGCTATCATTAGACACCAAACACAATTGATGAGACCTCTCAGAGCCATTGGACTCCAAGGGCTTAGCAATTACAGGGAATTTAAGCCCCAAATCGGTAAACGCGTGTAACCCATTTTTGACCAGGACATCCAAATCATTCACCACGACTTGCTTGGGAGTATCAATCCGCTCATTCCCTTCTGGGAGTTTCACCTGATTGACGACTTGGAGCATGGAATCGCGATTGAGGAGGCGGGAGATTAGCTCCGGTGGGTCGACGATGACAACATCAGGGAACTGGGAAGTGAAATCGCGGAGTTGTTGAATCCATGAGGGGTCGTAGAGCTTGTGGATGATGCAGTGGAAGGGAGATTGGTGAATGAGAGGGATAAGAGGGTCGATTCGAACAAGGTCGATGCCATGGAGTTTGGCGCAGTCGAGGAGGGAAGGGAGGATGAAGGAACGCTCCTTTTTGGGGGAAAAGGCGTAGCCGACTCGGAAGCGAGGGGAAGACATGGAGGGATGGATGAATGGGGAAAAGGGTATTGGGGAGATTGAGAAATGGAGGAGAAATTTAAGTGAAAGTGGGCGGAGAAGTGGAATTTTGGGTTGCAGAGGAGGCAGAGGGAAGACAAGCTTCTGGCGGTGGCAGTCTTAGCAGTGAAACCTAAGTGAGTAATTTATTACCGTTAAAATGGGTTATAATAGTTTTTTTTTTTTTTTTTTTTTTTTTTTTTTTTTTTTTTTTTTTTTTTTTTTTTTTTTT